TTACTCCTATTTTCAAAAACTGCCAAAAAGACCAATAATTATTGTTTCTTTTGGTAGTTTTTGAAAATAGGAATGGAGGTGRCCACGGGTAGAGGAAGGAAGAAAGGCAAGAAAGAAGGAAAATAAAAAATGGTAGGAGAGGGAAACAAGTGTCCACAACTTGGAGGTCATAATAAATTATTGATTTTAATGGCTCAAATAAGAGAAAGAACATGAAAGACGTTATAGCACATTATATRTACACAGCTGAATTAGTTGTAAATACAAGAGGGTTAATGTACAAAAACAGTAAGCATTTCAAAAAAGCTCTACTTAYGATGGAACAACTAGAACACCATATCAAATCACAGTTAAACATAGAATAATATCTTCAGAACACTAGAATATAATAATGAATGCAGTTGTTGGGAATTATTTCTTTGTTGGAGCAATTATTCCCTCAAGCTGAGTCTGAAAATGAAATAAAATGTGAATAATTTTTTAAAAAGTTTTCAGGGTGCACATTTTGGGTTGTAAACATGACCATGCAGGAAACTCACTAGTCATTTACACAGCCGCTATTTGTGTAAATGCTGTGTAGCAGACTAGAAATTCAYGTCCTATTGATAGTTTCGTAGTTTAAAAAGGCACCTTTAGTTACTTAAGTCGTAAATAAAGACGAGTTCATTGAGACTGACTGATGACARAGTTAGGAAGAAGAATTTTTCTGTAAACGTTGACCGAAATAATTAATGAACATTTATGACATTTTCACTAAAGGGAGAATTACRAACATCATTTATATCGACGTAAAAAAATACTTCATGAATGGGCATCCTGTGGCTTGGATGAGAAGTAATTTTGMATTAACGTTATAATTTGACCAAAYGTTGTTATGAATGCAGTACYGTGAAAAWGTTAACTAAGAAAATTATTGCAAAGTTTTGTAGCGGGTCTACRGTCTACTGAGGTCACTGTTAACTAAATAATACTAAGTTGTGCACACTTGTGCAATTTCTTACGATGCTTTTCACGGATGTATGGTATGCTCTCTATTAAATTGAAATTTATAAGTTGACTTTGGTGCAGGAAGGAATCTGGAAAAACACTTTACTCACATGATGGTGAGAGGCGGTGCAAATACATGTAAYAACTAATAAATTACAAAGTGAATGTTTTACCTTGAGCTGTTGATTGGTTCTTTTAAGGAACTGGATCTCTTCAGCATGTTTCTTTTCCTCTATAGCCCGTCTCTCAGCCTCGCGTTTTTCAATGGCATCACACTTGGCCTTCAGTTCATTCACTTGACGCTCAAGCTCACGTTTGTCATTTTCAAGCTCATTTATCTATTTTGAGCCAAGAGAATTAAATTAGTGAAGGAAAAGTACTAGCGAAATCCCAGTTTATTGATTGATCATGTCTTGCTCTCTAAGTAACTTGATATTTTTTTGGGGGGGGAGGGGTGTGAAGTAATGTTTTCTCATTTCAAAATTATTGAAGCATTTTCTAGAGCTATGTTTATATTTTATAAAAAAAAAAAAAAAAAAAAAAAAAAAAATTAAAAAAATAAAAAAAAAAAAAAAAAAAAAAAAAAAAGCCAAGATAAATACAAGAGTGGATAGAGAAAAGTTGCAGGTAAAGCATATAACAAAGTATTGAATTAGTTTCTAATACAGTTCAAAAGGGAGTGGGGTAGGGAAAAGGGAGGAGGAGCTGGGGGGGAGGGGGGACTGTAACTATACCTAAAATGATAAATATGTACCAGTATATTTATCTAGAAGGTAAGTTATGAAAATTTTGAGCACTACAGGCTTGATTGTTTTCTACCAGCATAGATACTCTACCTTTCCTTCCATGTCTGCCTTTCCTTGTTCAGCTTGAAGAGCTTTTCTCATTCCAAATGCAACACTTGAATAAAAGTATCCATGTTAATATCAAGATCACACAAACTCTATTATAGTGGTTTCCTTGGAAACTTGAAGACTAGACATAAAAAGTAGACAGCAAAACTTTAACAAGTCAAAGTCAACTAAGAAGCTCATTATTTAGCATTTCTTAAATACCTGCTTTCGTAGAGAGTTTGATATGCAGCTATGGTCATACGGATTTCATCTCGCACTCTAGGAAAAAAGGCAACAAGCACTTAGTCCAGGGCCTTGTGTCAGTCCCATGGAAAATTCATTATTATTTTTATAGTTTAAACCCCTATTTAAAAAAGAARAAAAAAGRAAAAATACAGGGGAAACAAAAAAAAAAAGGTTTAAAAAGCTACATTAAATTATTTTTACCTTAAAAGGAGAAGTCCACGTTCTGCACAGTTAATGGTTACTTGACGGATAAGTTCATCTTTCATGATAATAATAAGAAAATTATTAGCATGTTTAAGTCAAATATTATAATGATAAAAATTCATGTTAACTCCAAGATGAAGGCCCAGATAGTAGTTGGGCCTTGATTTTAGAAGAGAGTTGGAATCTCAAAAGAAAAAAATTCTTAAAAGATTTCTTTTTTGGGGGTCAGTACAGAGTATAATTCCTCCCTCTTGCAATATTTAAAACGGAATGTCAAACTTGAATACTACCCTCCCCTATGTGAGTTTATTAGTGATAAGTGCATTCATCACATGATTTCTTGTTTCTTGACATGACAAAACATTTTAGAATAGGAAGATGCCCTGTATATATACCATTTACAGTACATGTGTCTAGGCAAAAATGAAAATATTTGGTAKTCTGCTTTGTATGTTGTCACAGACTCTTTTGCTGACCCTCCTTATGGCTCTTTTTTTCCCCTTCATTTTCTTGTTCCTTTTTCTAACATAATGTATTTTCCTCTAATTGTGATAAATATGAGGACTGTCATACCACTCACCAAAACACTGTGAGTACAACTCTCTTCTTACAGGACATATTCCTGTTTCCCTGGCCTGACGCTGCTGGAGACGCATATCTAGTTGTTCCTACAGCAACAAAGAAAACGTCTATAATCTCATACTGACATATTCAATACTTAGTCTTAATATTGAATCTGGGTGGAGATTACTAACAAGAGGAAATCAAGAATCAAGTACTACAGAATCCCATTTAGGGACAGTTGATTTTTAGGGGGGGAGGGTGTGGTCATTAGTGTCATTAAAAAGTTAGGCTCAAGAAGGGGAGGGGACAGCAAAAAAAATACTCCTTATACCCTGAGTAAGGCCTCTATCATTGCAAGCTTACCATTTGTTTCACTTTGATGCAAAGGCATGGCTACCTTTCAAGATGAGGCAGGAAACTGTGAAAACGTTTTTTCATCAAACTCAGACTGACTAATAAGTGCAGGCTTATAACCAGGATTTTACAGTAGCTGACTACTAACTGTCAAATACGTACCTGTAGATTAACAACATCCAGTCTTGTTGCTGGTGTACTGGATACTTGCTGCACCCATAGTTGACCATTTTCTGTCCACTCTCTACACAAATCAATAARGCCATTACTACATTCATTCCCAGAGAACTCAATTTAGAATGCACAYCATATATCRTGGCAGCCATGTTGGTGGTATTAGCCACCTTAARCTTTTCAAAATCTACTATGGCAATGTCAACCGCAAGTATAAATAACTTCACCTTAGAGTTTAGTGCCCTCAAAGTTTGTCTTCCCTGTGGATGAGTTGACTTTACTGACAATGTTTTTTGAATGAAATCTCCATTCATGAACAGAACCCCAAAGAGAAATTATTTACACTTCCGGTTGATGTTGTTATCGTAAATTTTGAAAATTTAAGGTTGCTATTAACAAAGGAGGCTGATAYATCAATAAACAAGCAATATTGGGGACATTGACGCAACATGCAAATGGAAATAGGCATCATCCAGACTGTCATCATCATCATCAAAATTATCACCAAAAGCAATAAATAAATAGATAAGTAACAATTAAATTACTTGGTTTTATAAATCAAKAATAGTTGGTACCTGGGGGGTAGAATAGCATTCAAGATCTCGTCTGTTTGTTGGTTTTTCTGAGTATCCATTGGAGGTAGCTTGCTTGCTCTTGGTGGTTGACGGACAGGCCCAGCTCCATTAGCCGGTCCCTGCTGTTGACTGACCTTGAGTGAACGAGCCTAAAACAAAACACATTTGTACAACATATGAACATACTAAATAGAACTTAACAAAGTAAAGTACGTATTGTAGTATCAGCAATACTAGTAACATTTATATTCTTAAAAGTTGTTTAAAGGACGTCTTACATGCAACCAAAACATTGAATGTGGTTCAACAACATCAAAGGCTCTAACCACTATTAACACGATAAAATAACACAAACCCTTTATGTCCTAAATTTTCTTCTTCTTGAATAAATTCTTATTATTCCAACGTTTATTCTTGTGTAGAGGAACATGGGAATTAAAAGTTTATAGGGACTTTTCACAAATAAAAACAATAAGCGACCGAAGTAATGGCGCCAACTTGAAAGTTTGCATCAAAGATGTTTATTTAAAATGAGCATTTAATATCGTTTTTACTCACCCTTGGAGACTTCTTATCGGTGTTTCTGCTTACCAGAACCGGGTTATCGTACTTAACGAGTGAGGCATTAGGAGGAATCATCGTAAAATATTGAATTTTTTAGCGTAAAAGTGCTCGATAAACTCTCTTCTGCCTGGTCTTCTTGTCCGAATTGTTTGTTGCTATGGATACATGGACTCACGGTCTGAAGGACTGGTGCAYCTACCACAGGTAACCCAATATGACCATAAGAAAATAACTGTTGGGTTATTTATAGCACGTCTCTCTTTTTTTTATCTTTTTATTTCCAAAACTCTCTCTTTTAGGGGTTTTAAAAATTTATTTTTTCAACAGCATCGCCTTCCCTTTTTACCTAGGAGTACCGCCTCCCCCTAGGTGAACATTTAGCCAGCATTAGTTGGGTCAAATGTTGGGATTGTTTGTCATAGTTGGGTCAAAATGTTGGTTAAAACAGTAGCTAAATGTTGGGCTAACTGTTGAGACCATTTTTGAGGGCATTATGATTAAACTAAAAAAACAATATTTTGAGCATTGTTCTTAAAATCCCTGGGGTTTCAACCCATGAGGCTCTGATGAAAGAAATGTGTTGTATCCATTCATTTACCATGTTAAACGTTTAAGTAAGAAAATTCAATTTTATTCAAAAAACATAAATTAAGGGTAAGAAGGAAAAAATGAAGAAAAAAAAAAAGATAAAAAAATATACAAATAAAAAAGGAAGAACAGAATATGAAGGTGGAAGGAAGAGGCAAAGACTGGAACAACCAAGTTTTAAACTTTTCCCTTCAAAAATCTTTATTTTATATTTATGCAAAACAGATTCCATTTAATCCACGCACAATAGAGTACAAACACTATAAGTGTGCAACATAARTACCACTAAATACTGCTAAATTATGCTAATCCTATTGTTTTCTATTGTTTAATTAGCACTATTTACTACTAAATAGTGCCAAGTGTTGCACACTTTTAGTGTTYRTACTCTATCAAACAATGTCTTAGCAGTTTTCTGTAAATAAAATGAAGTTAGCTCATACCACCAAGTCTCCACATGTAGCGAATTTTCATTGTAAGCAAGACTCTCTATACTCTTCGCAATACGAGTGGTAATGTGAGCAACATTTGTGCTGCAGCCACTTGCAATGCAACCATGTTGCAAGACAAATATTATTGTGTGATAACGTTGCCCATATCACCAAACTTTGACACAATCAAGATATTCCTAAACCAAATTTGGCATTGGTTTGTTTAGTATTGTCATTGGATAATCAGGAACAGATAGATAGAAGCCAGCAGCAGGTCCAGGAATTAGAGTTGGAAGGGTTTCCTCTGACCTCAACAGTGTTTATCAAAATACTTAACCTCTCTTTTATATGTTTTGCCAGTGTTATAACTCCTTGATAGCTTTGAATGTTGCTACAGCTTCATTGAGCGTAATTCTTTTGCTCTGTCCTAGAAAATGTCCTGTTGCCTCCAGGCTCTTTATTGTGACTTCAACTTTGTCTCCAACATTGACTTCCCTAAGCAATATATATATATAAAAAAAAGAATAATGAAAAATAAGCTGGGATTAGCAGGGGGTACTGAGGTCTCGAAGATTTGTGGGGGTGGGGGTGGGGATTACCATTTTCCTATCAATACACACACATACACATTTCATTGTCCTTCGTTTCCTTCAGTTTTCTTTGCTACACCCCTGGGTATGAGAATGTTYGATGCCCAATATAATGTCAGGTGGGCACCAAATATTCACTTGTGTGAATGTTATCTCTCAATTTTCTCCCATTTTACAATCTTCATAATCTCATAAATTAGTCAACTCCTTTCCTCAATTCTTTCCCCACCCCCTCACATAATAATCCTATCCTATCTTGACCTATAGTCTAAGGGGTTGGATCTGATCTGGATGGTTCTGTGTGTCTGTGTGTCTGTCTGTGTGGGTATTAAATAGTTATCCGAGTTGTAGATCGAAGGTGATTTCTTGTCGARTAATGTAAATCAAGAATCACTCCTTACGAAGCACACGTTTACCTTTTTACAGGAACGGTTTCAACAGCATGAAACTTCCATCCAAAKTCAACATAAATATCTTTGTTTTTTTCTCTAGTCACCACGTGAGTGACTCTACCCAGAACTTTTTTTCCTTCGGGTCTTCCAAGCTTCACAAATTGAGAATTCCGAAACATTTCTTCAAAATCTTCATCTTGTGAATGAACTGAATCTTCGGTGATTGAACTACACCTCCTAGAAAGCGCAGGTCTAATAAAACCATTGAAAAAATAATTCGACAAGGACTTTCTTGCTGCAGTTCTGCRTAAGCCCGCCATGTTGGAACCTGCAGTATTACTAACCAGCGGAACATAAACAAAATCCACAGGAAGCCCAAAACCGCAGTTTATGATTTACTTCCGCTTAAGATTATTAGTCGTATAAGCAGGAGCCCCATACTGTCGTAAAGATGAGGAAAATTAAGTCGTTCACAGATCAAAATTTCAAGAGGAAGGGTTAGTTACAGACGTAATCAATGCATGCCAGTTAGCAAACTGATGCATTTAACTCATTGATGTGAAATAATGTGAGTAGGTTACCCTGGGGTACTCTTGCCCGTTTGATGTTTGCCCGTTTAGGGTAGGGATGTGCCACYGAGTCCTCTGAACCCTGACCCTGAAATYGCTGAAATTCATACCCTGTTCCAGAGCAAGATTGCTGAAAATCATACCCTGTTTCGGTATTGCGAGAGCGTGATTTTATATATACCGTCCCAGAGCGAGCACGATTTTATATACCCTGTTCCAGAGTAGAATCACTGAAAACCATACCCTGTTTGGCAGCACGTACCCGATTAAGAAATATAGGGGAGTACCCCCCCCCCCCCCGGGGTACCATAGGTTGGGTGGTGTATATCTTCAGTTCTGAACCCTACTTACAGGATTGTTGTCAATGAGCAATGCATGTTGTCTATCTCTTCTCAAACCATGAAACTAGAAAAAGTTTTATCTACTATTTCTTAATCCAGAGGAATGTGCATTGCAAAGATGTAATACAATTTTTTTGAGTTGCATGAAAATCCCACAAGGTTAAATTTTCAAGTGTACACAAAAGCCTTCAGGTGTGTGAATTTACTAAARAAATAAAGTGACAAGTAGGGCATTCCATTGTATGCCACTCAAAACTATTGTATAACTATATATCTCRCATCACTGAAAATACTAACTGCAATACCTGATGGGAAATAATCTTTGATCCTTTATACAATGTCAAAGACATTTTCCGTTTCAATGCAATAGCAAATGAAGATTTACAGCTTTTYTTTACAGGAAAAAGAATGGCTGAATTTTGGATGGCTTGGGATTTAAGTAAATATGTAAATGAGTAATATTCACTTAGTATCAAGAAATTTATTCATTGTATTTTCACAGAAAATGTATTTCTGAGTACTAAGAGACTCTGCTCTTGAATACTCCTGTTTACATAAGTTCAAACTAGCCTGTTTTATAAATTTTATGGCGTTTTAAGAGCATACCTGTTCAGAGCATTTTCTTAGGATAAAAAGAATTATCAAATGAGAATTACCTATTTAATTATTTAAAACCTAAGAGGCTCTGCTCTTGAGGAATAAATATATGTTGATTATGCAAAGGTTCCTAAGAGTCTCTCCTCTTGAGGAACTATATACAGCTGCATTTGTCAATTTTGGTCTAAAGAGCCTAAGAGTCCCTGCTCTTGAGGATCAGATTTTTGTGAGTCTATATGAAGTGCTTCTAAGAGTCTCTCCTCTTGAGGAATACAGCATTACAGAAGTAATTGGTATAGGCCTAAGAACCTAAAAGTCACTGCTCCTGAGGAACTAGATTCATCATATTTATCTAGTTTTATCTATTTATCAAGTTTTATTGATTATTGGTTTTCTTTAACCAACCATCATTACTTGCATCTTTCATTTCGTCAAACAGAGTGAATAGTCCCTTTGAGCACATCTTTGGGCAATTCTTACAGCGATCCAAGGAACTTCGGGCAAGCCATTTACAAGTGTCGGCACTCAAACTGTTGGTTGTTGGCTTGGACAACCACTCATTGTAATCATTTGGTAGGCATTCCAGGAAGCCTTGCATGAAGTTTGGCTGCACATTTTCTTTACCCCTGTTYGTCATTCTTGTACTACTTACCCAGTCTTCAATGGCTTGCGCTTGAAGCATCTGGCCATACTTCTTGATTCCTGACCTGTCTTCCTCAGTAGGGCGCGGTTTGATTGACGATGTTACCAACCAGTTACCATCTTCATCTGCACTCTTCTTACTTTTGAATCTGAAGATTGAATCCAGATTCTCAATAGACACAACATCCTCTTCTTTGACTTTGAGCCAATCAGCATCACTCATTGAGTCAGAGTAATCCAAACTGCCATCCTTTGTACTGGCACATTCACAATCAGCACAAGAAGACTTATTATTACACTTCAGCTGCTCAGAGATCAATGAGGACACCTTTGGCTGTAGCCACTGATCCATGCTTGTGTTTGCAATGTTGGTGAAAGCCTTGCCAGTGCTTGTTTGAGGGAGGTATTCATATGATTTGGATCTTCTCAACCATTCTAGATTGGAGCCTTCCTGCCTGTGGATCTTGCCAAGGTTTTCAGGGAAATTCCTCTGGTTGCTCTTTTCCTGCTTAAAGAAAAGCCAATTTTCATTCCCCATGGCCACAATCTTTGAGTAGGTTTCTCCAATCAGCCTTGATTTTGGCTGTTCAGGAAGTTTAGGGTAGACCTTGATCCAGTCTTTAAGAGTTGATTTCTTAACCTCTTCAAAATAGCCACCAAAAGTGTCTCGTCCAGAAGGGGAGTTGTTGGTTTCAGCAGAAAGAGTCCACTTAAGCTCTGATAGATCAAAGCTCTTGACAGAACCTCCCATTTCACTAGCAACCTCCTGCTCGGACTCAGTGAAAGATTTACACTTGTTCAGCCATTTTTCTACTGATACTGCAGTAGCTGGAATGGACTGGTTCTCCTGGAACCTGTGCCCTTGCAGCAGCCAGTTCTCCATTGGTCCCGAAGGAGTAAAGAACTTCCGTTTGTTACTTGGTGAAGTGGAATTGCCACCTTCCAAACTTATTCCATTCAACAGYGWGGCAAGATGAGAAKCTTCACCTTCAATATGGCCAAATCCCCTGATGGATTCAAGCAGCTCTAGGTTGTGAGCTTTGAAACAGATGTTCGATGTTTCTTCAGGACTGATGTTCATCCTCTCCACAGATGTTAACAACTCACTCAGCTGTGCCTCAAATGCTTCCACTTCACCAAGTTTCTCCTCTTCCACACTCTGTTCAAGTAGAGCACACACTTTTTTCAGACCACCAACCATGTCAATGATCTCCGTCTGCTTTTGGAGAAGAAGTTCTTCTTTTCCTTGTTGGATCAGTTCTACCTGACTTAAGAGCCATATCTCTCTGTTCCTCAGAGCTTCCAGGTGTCGGCTGATGCTATCACGGATCTGTGCTTTGACATCAGATGAAGCTCCTTTAAGGCTCTTCTTCACATGATGGATGTCATCTACAGCCTTCTCCAGACCAGTTACTTTGGTTCTGATCTCTTCAATCAGGTAAAGCAGATTATCTGCACTATCCATTGATAACTGCTGAAATTAGAAACAGTTTTCACATGAATAAATAATATTRAATAATTATCTATTTAATTAAATTAAGCAAGTCAAATTAGTTGAGTACAGTCAACTGCCAAGTTATTAAAGTTGGAGTAACTAGAAAATCAATAATTTGCCRAATAGATATTCTAAGTCAGGATTCAAGTTAGCATTCCATTTTGGTTAACAGTACCAAGGCCATTCAAATATTTATTTGAATTATTCTCTGACATTRATGTATCTGAACAATAAAATCTTCACAAATTCAGTAAATTTAATTYTKGRGGTSAAAYAGCKGCCAGCTTATGAGRAATGCTTTGTTATTGTCAACCAAAATAGCAGCTGTGACATAACATACACCCCATCTTAGTATGAAGAGTATTCATTTCCTAAAATTGAGTAATATTGGATCATTGCTAACTGTAAAGGATAGACATGAAGGTATTACATAATATGATAGCAAGCACATAACAGCTTGACATTAGACAAAACTTGAGTCTGACAGAAATCTTATGATGCTCCTCCCATCTGCAGATGTGAAATGCTATTAATACACTTTCATGAGGGTATTACGTAACAAAGTAGCAAGCACACCACAGCTTGACATCAGACAAAACTTGACCCCTACAAAAAGCTTATGATGCTGGATACTTCTCCCATCTGCAGACGAGACRTGCTAATACACATTTATGGTCTAATTCTTRGTTTGCAATCRATCCCAAGAGAGCACAATAACAAAAGGGATGTCCGCCATGTTRGAAGATATAACAAAAGAATTCATTGAAAAATCTTTTGTCAAATTCTTCTAACATGGCGGCTATGACGTCTATTGCAAACGAAGAATAACTGTGCCAAATGTCAAAGCTAACACATACATATATATATATATATATACAGATTGGGAACTGTTTTTACTGAGCATTTAAAAATCCTTTCTAGGAGAGTAGACTTAATGATGTTTTAATGGATATCTTTCTCCATAAGTCTAGCAAACAGCACTAGACCAGTAAAATGATATTTGATGCTAATGTGTGCATGATCTCCATAGCATCAAGCCTTCTCTCAATTAAAAATTAAATTAAAACAGAGAAATTTTATAAAACAACTACATATTCAAATTATTTCGGTTAATGTTTTTTTCCAGTGGAYAAATGAGTTTGCATTCAAAGAAAAAAGCTTTTTGAGTTAAAAATGTGGACCCTATGAAACAAAACTCGAATTCTAGATGACAGTATGTATTCGTACTTGACTTTTTACTCCAAAATAAAATAGTTGTAAAAGACCAAGACGCAGCTCGAAAACAATTTTAAGTAAGGTTATTTAATCCTAGGATTCAAAAAACATAGTATATATAAAGAAAGATTTTTTATGAAAACAGACTTGGACCAAAGAAAAGATGTCTCAGAAGCAATGATGCACGACGTATTAAAWTGCCCAACTTGAACAGTTTTTAGTAAGAGAAAAAACTAAATATGTTTAACATAACTTTCTAACTGAACTAACTAATTAAAAAAATTAGAGATTAGGAATTATAAAGTCAAAAGTCAGAATTAGAATACAGAGAATCGATAGCGGAAAAATATGAGGGTCACTTTGGTTTAGGGAACCGTAATGTCTCAACCTAAATATTCCTTCAGTAAATATCTATGTCAGAAGTWGAGGGATATGACACTTACCAGCTCAGTTACGGCTCCACTTAAATGGTAGTGTAGAAAAGGATAGAAAAAAGGCTTAAAAGAGGAGRAAAACCGAACTGTTTATCTTTTCGTAACAGCACAAGCTTGAAGAAACTTGCTAAACCGGTCTAATTTATGGATATAATTAGGATATTCAAGAATTGGACCAATCAGAGAGCAGGGATGTACGACCTAGCTGTGTTGTGATTGGTTGATTGGATGAGGACAGGTCTGGTTAGAGATCGTGCAGTAACTCACGTCCGTTTGCCAGGCAGTTTRCTTTAGGTACACGTGTAAATAAATGCACGTGAATTCATAAATGCAAGTGGAAGGATGTGGGATCCCTGGGGTTTATAGATATTACCACTAAGATTCTCTCTACATAAAATATTTTTTCATAAGTTTTGATTTTGATCTTCATTTGTAAAATTCGACATTTTCCGGATCCCGGCTGGTCATGACTTATACTCTCAGATATAGAGGATATTACATGGGCGCGCGGAGATACGAATTTTATCTTCGAGTGTTGAAAAGATCTCTCACGAGTGAGCGCAGCGAACGAGTGAGAGATTTTCAACATGAGAAGATAAAATTTCTATTTCCAAAGCGGCCATGTAATATTATGTTTATTATATAATTATCAATGAAGTATGTTTTGGCTTTTTCAGGCAATTCTTTCCGTGTATTTTTGAATAGCCATCGCAATGGTGTTATTTTCACGTGTGAAGATATCAATTTTTCGAAATAGAGAAAAATAGATATTTCATTGGTAATTATATAATAAAGTTACATACTCGGCACTAAAGGCGCGATTTTGCAGAATATATAATAACTAGACACCCCTCGTGGCGTGAACTTGGGCTACCGTTGTATTTGACGATGTATAATAAAAGCACTTGGAGGCCCAGATGTGGTGATTCGATACTAGTACTACTTTATTAGATCCTACACGTGCACTACATTGTATTACATAATAGGGTATCAAATGACTTAGTTAAACAGTAACAACACTACATCCCTCCCCCTCTACAAACAAAATACGATAAACGATGATAATGCAAGAGTGTAATAATGTGATAGTAAGGTAGTGATTAGTCTTCGCCGTCAGTTTCTTTCTTGTTGGTTTCTTGTTTGACTGCCTTCTTGAAGAATGATGAGTTCCTCGTTATCTGTTTACCGTCTCTTTCCGCCGTTACCATCGTACCTTTACGTTGACTTATAGTGTATGGACGCGGGTCATAAGGCGTCACAGACTTCTTGTGTGATTGGTCACGCCTAGCAACATTATTGACATTAAACGTGACATCTCATTTTTACTTCAAATGTTTTTCTAAATCATTACTCATTTATTTTTATTGGTTGAATTGGATTTAAAACAAATATGCCTGAAATTATCTTATAATTCCATGTTACATGTGACGTATATCATATTTTTACAAGGTAGATGCACCTTTAGCCCTTCAGGGTAGATTTTGTTATTGTTTATATTGCTTGTATAATATATCATGTTTTTTACAATAGAGCCTTTTTGATATGTTTTACTGTAGTTATATACAGCTATTTCAAAAAAGGTTGGCGACGGTTTTGTTGCATAAAGGTGGTGTTTACAGTTACACTGGACAACTTGCAACACCGGTTTTTCGTGCAACGCTATTGCGCCATTTGAGTGTCGATTTTTTGCGACATTGACACGGAAACAACTTTTCGCGCAACATTCACTTTACTATTCAGTCCACGCGCTGCCAACTCACTCACGGCTATCTTTTTTCTTCTTTTCCTGCTTTTATCATTTTTTATCAACTCTAAAAGTTTCATCTTATCTGTTTCATTAGGTTTAGACAATCGTCAGTTGCTCTACTGTTTAAGCTTCTTCTACAGTCGGCGCCATTTTATTGCGCGTCAAATCGGCGATGGACATGTTACACACATCGATTTGTTGAAAATTTGCGTTGCAAGTTTTTGAAGCCAGATCAAAAACTTGCAACGTGTTGCAGAGTGAAAAATTGCGCGAAAATTCGTCCTCGGCGCTATGTTACACGGCAACGATTTTTCGTGCAACAACGTGCAACAGCGTTGCGCGAAAAATCGGCGTTGCAAGTTGGCCCGTGTAACACTACCTTAAAAAACCCGCCAAATGCTGTATTGGGACTGTAATTCCATGCAACATGCAACATGCAACATGCAACAGAACGTTCACCAACCTTTTTTCGACTGTATCATTAACTCCCACTTCAATGAAAGTTTTCAATGAAAGCTTTTGGCTGCAAATTTGCAGATTTGCACACATATGAATGTAACACTAAACGTTCAGCTAGTAAATAGTGGAAATCAAAAGCATACTTCTCAAGGTCATGACAAGTGGTCTGTATGAAGATAAAAAGACATCACGCACTGACAGAGTCCTATCGTAATGTCAGCAATTCTCATGCTACAAGACGCAAGGCTGATCAGTTTCAAGAGCTGGATCCACGTCATAACATCGACCAAAGAAACAAGGTTCGGGCAGCACTCGTCCAAAAAACGGGTAATCCGAATCATCGAGGAGTTGCCGAAGATTCATCGCGGCTTTTCGGCTATGTACGGAGCCTCCGATCAGTAAGCAAGTAAATCCATAGGCACTCCAGGAATAGTAGCCCCGGTGATCAAAACGTTTGTCTATCAAATTGCTGACATGGGCTGGGATGTCATGATAGAGATCCTCATCTGATGTCAATAGGATGAGAACGTCTGCGAGTGGTAGTGCTTGCTTGAGGAATTCCTCTGGGGTAGGGTAGGGGGTGTTCTTTGTTAGGCAGCTGGAGCTGAAGTCGTCCGAGTGAGAATCGTATATGGGGACTAGTTGCTCACCTGAATATAAGAAGAATCTTTTTTATTGTGATCGTAACTATTTGGTTTTTACATTGTTTGTGGATCAAGATTATTTGAATGTCGTCCAACTGCCCTCAGGCAGTATATTATATTACGATCGATGAGTTGGCTTCATTTTTGTCAGGAGAGGAGAAAATTAGAATATTCAGAATGCGTGAGGCAGAAATAAAAAAAAAGAAAAAAGACTGATGCATGCAGGCTAGAAAGAAAGGAAGGAAGGAAGGAAGGAAGGGAGGGAGGGAGGGAGGGAGGGGAGGGGGGGGGGGAGGGAGGGAGGAAGGAAGGGAGGGAGGGAGGAAGGAAGGGAGGGAGGAACGAAGGAAGGAAGGGAGGGAGGAACGAAGGAAGGAAAGCTAGAAGGAAGGACCGTTTCCTTACCAAATATTATAATCTGATGGCCCTCCTGACACACTCTCTCCACGAGGTCTTCCACACGAGGGCACAGCTCATCATTTTTCAGGAAAGCTACAATCTTCAAACAACATTGATCACCAACACACCTTGAACCACCTGACATCTGGAATCAAGAAATCATTCATCTTTTAAACTAAAATTCTAAATCTAATCATTCAAGTGTCCATCTCCCATTATATACTTCTGGTTTGACATAAAAGTGGGGCTCACATTGAAGACATTTTTTTTACAAGATATTTGAAGSCGAAGATCTTTTTAGTGAGAGCTCCTTGAAACTGATAGAGCAAGAGTTTTTACCGATCTAATTGAAGCATAAATCAGTTCCGGTAAAAGTCCAATAAACCGGGACGCTTTACAGTGTAATTGCACTATATAAGAAACCATATACATAACGACCCCTGTCTCTTCATTCAATGAAAAAATACCAACATCTTACATAATTAAGCTTTCGTGAGCTCTGCAATAGCTCAGTAGTGGTTCATATTGCTACCAATGCAAGGCAATTAGCCATTGAAGGGATTCACTGATCTATTATACACACTTGTGTTAGTCACTGGCTAATAAGTGCTACCTTCAAAAATACATTTTTTAAATCGAACATTTGAATAAGATTTCTGCATTCTTTAACTAACAACGACAACAAGCACAAGCCGCTCTTGAATGAAATATATTCTGTTCCTCAGCTGGTACGTTAAGTACTTCTCCATGCCGGCACCATACTGATGGCAGGAACTAACTGGCCATAGGTAAACAGGAACCACTATACGTATATTGTTACCTGGATTTAAGAAATCCATCTCGATCAGTCAATCCATCTTGAAACAATTATATTCGTATGCTCATAAAAAAGAAGATCAATTCAGTTTATTTATTTTGCCTTTACGTACCTCACATCAAATCATATGGTAAGAAATAAAAATAAAAAGGAGATGAGAGGTGTTAAGACTGGATCAGTGTTATACGATGAAATATAAAGGCGTTCGGAACTCAAACCATTTTGCAATTAACTTAATCGCGCATAATAAGCTCAAATCAGTGGTGAAACAAGTTGATGTGGGTTTTTGAAACGTCAATGAACGGAACTGCGTTCTTCTATGGCAGCCGAATGAATGTTTTGTAGCAAAAGTATTGCAAAATACGGTACAATGAAGTTATACTTCACATCAAGGCGGCACCTCAAGTAAAGACGTAGGGAAAACTTAGCTCACAGACTATTGGTAAAGAGGCCTAAAGAATAAAACTCTAGAAATGGTTGTCAGAAACTTGCTTCTCTAATTGACATTGTAAGATTGTTACCAGGAAGAAGCTGATGAATACCAAGCATTGGTCGAGAAAAGGAACAAACAATATAAGGCGTAAGATAAAGATCAAAGAGATCCGTACCACCACAGGTGCATGCATGCTGCGGTGCTTGACAGTCTGCGCAGGCGCAGGAGATATCGATTGAACACCGCCCTTGGACCACAGTTGTTTGGCGAAAATTTAAATGGATTGTTGAAAAGAGTATATATATGTATATATGTGTTGAATTTTTTTACGAATTAAAGACACCCAAGTGCAAAAGCTACAAAAAGATGCCTGACCGTATTAAATCAGTCGTAGTAATCTACATTTTTACTGACAAACCTTTGATTCTTGACTATACAAGTTTCCTTTTGTAAAACTGAAATATTGAATATAATTTAGAAGTGGTTTAAAAAAGTGGATCTTATCAGTTACTGAATCCATTGGGATTAGGATTTAGAATTATGTGTTGATGTTTAAGGAGGCAGAGAAACCAGATAACCAGGATAAAAACCCTCGAAATATAGGAAAACTAACCAGCAACTCGACTTTTAGGTCATCTACTTGGACTGAGTTTGAAG